AATCTTGAAAAATTTTCGTTTTTCCTCAGTGAAGTTTTATTCTTTTTTTTTTGCTCATCAACTCCCAAAAAAAACACTTAACCCTCGAATACCTCTGACCAATATAGACGATCGAAATAATAGATTAGATATATGATGATAAAAAATATCTAAGAGATCATTCTAAAATCTCAAAAATTCAATAGAGTATAAATAAAGATCTTGAACTATTATTTATACTTTATTGTAAAAAAAATATGGAACGAAAACTTTCAATCATTAGGTTACCAATGATGGAAAAATGCAAATAAAAACAAATTTTAACAAATGAATTTTATTAATTATTTTGATTTTCATATTTGCACTTCTATACAATTATATTTTCATTTTTTTATATTATTTGATCACTCAAATTCATATTTATTGTCGTACAAAAAGAACAACAAAAGTGATGATGCGAACAACATTCTAATTCTTTAAAATTACTTCATCTATGTTGTTCACATTGTTTGTTTTATCAAGCATGTCTTTAATGAACTATCATATTAATGAAGATTGATCGAAGAATTTCTATTATGAAAAAAAAGTTTGTTTTTGTTTAATTTTCTTCTCTATTTAATGATGTTATTAAATTTTCTATGTTTTCTAATATTCATTCTTCTAATTCTATTTTTAGTCTCTTGTGATTTGATATCATTATTAATACAATTAAGTGAACGTATCTTTCATCTTCTTTTTCTTTTCTTCCTTTAGAAACAATGATTTGACACATATTGCTTAGCTGTTATTTTTTTAATTCTATAAAAAAAAAAAAAAAAAAAAAAAGATTGCACAGATGTACTGCGAAGAAAAGAAAATACATAAAACAAATCATATTCGTTCATCGAAGCATATTAAGACAACTTTTACTTAAATTGAACAACTTGAGAGCTTTTTTGTCTAATTAAAATCAACCACATGGAAGAATTCAAACACAAAAAAAAAGACATCATTGAAAAAATGGCCTACAAAATAATTAATGAACGTCTTGTTAAAAATAAATGTTCGACACTTTGAATAATCTATTGAATATTTCAATATACATAAGATTTTATGTTTTAGTGAGAATAGGATAATTGATTTTATTATATTTGAGTATTCAAAAAATGACTATGAAATTTTTCACCATGTAAGCTAATACATTTTCTTTGACATCAAATATATTCAATTGAAAAAGAAGAAAAAAAAAACATTGTATAATCATTTGTATGTCATAGAGTCTTTCGAAGAATTGAAACTAAAATTGAGCAATTAGTTAGCTTCATTTATCTTCTGTTTTTTTTTGGTAAGTGTTAAAATGTCGCTCAACAAGTTATTCCCAAGAGATTATACAACATAGATGAACAAAAAAAAAAAAAAGATCTATGTCGATGTGTTATACATGTAATTTTGTCGACAATGAACATCTTTATTTCATTCATACTAAATGATGTTGAATGATTAACGAGTTATAATAGAAAACCAAAATAGATTAATTTTTGAAATTCAGTTATTTTGTTTTTCGATTGGTTGAAAAAAAATACGTTTTGTATATTTCTCATTGGTTAGAATCAAAGGAAAAAAAAAAGTTAATTTTTATCTTGTAGAAACAAAATGAAAAAAAAAAAGAATCGTGATTTTGAAGATATATGCAAGAAAAGTCGTTAGTTAATCTATGAAACAAGTCACAGCAAAATTTGGTCTACTGTCAATTCTCATGAGAACATGAGAAGAAACAAAAAAAAAAAAGAAAAAGAAAAAAAAAAAGAAAAAGAAAAAAAAAAAGACGAACGGACTCTTTTTTTTTCCTCGTTATCGTTTGAATTTTTTTTTTCTTTTAAAGCATCATTGATGCATATCGATTCGGTACAATAGTTGTTGTCGTCTCTTTTAATCAAGTTTCTCTCTTTTTTTCTCTATTCTCCGAACAACTCGAGACGAGTCATTGGCTTTTCTCGTCATTTTGGCATAGTGTTCGCTTGAAGAAATATTCAATCTATCATATACATACACAGCAGTAACGCTCTATTGAAGTTTTGTTTTGTTTTCTGCTTCTGTCTATCTTTCTCTTCCCTTCATTGGCTTTTGGAGACTATCTCTCATTTGTGCACAAGAGGCTTGTTCCTGTGCGAAACCATGTTTCCGTTCAACCAGTTCGTTGCAGCTCAATACCGATATTCCAAATTCGGTAGGTGCTCTGTATATTTTTTCCCCTATCGATTCTTGCCTCCCTCGTTTTCTTTTTTTTTTTCATCCCTTTGTGCTCCAATGAATCGCAAGAGTTCATATTATCTATTAGTAAACTCATCATTGATGTAGTCAATATATATATATATATATATCTTTCATAGGACATGGAGGTATTAATCAACTCGGTGGAGTTTTTGTTAATGGTCGACCATTACCAGATCTTGTTCGTCAATCAATTGTTGATTTAGCTAAACAAGGTGTACGACCATGTGATATAAGTCGACAATTACGAGTATCACATGGTTGTGTTAGTAAAATTCTTGGAAGGTAAAAAGAAAATAAATGATATTCAATTATTGTCTTTATTTGTTTGTTTTTTTTTTTTCGTTTAAAGATATCATGAAACAGGTTCAATTCGTCCCGGTATTATTGGTGGAAGTAAACCAAAAGTTGCTACACCAAAAGTTGTTGATGCTATAAGTAATTATAAAAGTCAAGCACCAACAATGTTTGCATGGGAAATTCGTGAACGTCTTATTGCTGATGGAATATGTGATTCAGATAAAGTGCCAAGTGTTAGTTCGATTAATAGGTAAGAGAATATCAATTTTCTATTGTATATTATATGAATCAAAAAGACTTAATGTATTTTGTCAACTAATGATTCGCAACGACATTGATTTGCCGACATATATTCATTTGTTACTTGTCTTTTTTTCTCTTTGATTTGTCTATTCAAGAATTGTTCGTAATCGTGGAAATTTAAATGATAATTCAAAACCAAATAATCATAATCATAATAATAATAATAATTCATCACCAACAACATCAAATGAAACAACAACAACAACAACAACACCATCAATTGTTATAAGTGGTACAACAAGTAATGAAGATGATAGTCGAAGTCATGTAACAGGTGTATCATCATCACCTAATGGTTATAGTATTCATAGTTTACTTAATCATTCACAATATAATTTACATTCAAATGAATATTCAATAAAACGTTCTCATCATCATCACCATCATCATCATCATGGATCTCGTATAAATCATCATATCGGTAAGAAACTGTTAATTGAGCTGTCATAGAATAAAATGAGACAAAGACCAAATGATAATAATAATCTCATAGGAATTTATATAAATTTTGTTTTCTTTTTTTTTTTTTTTTTATAGAAATGCTTGATTATAAACCTTTTTCGGCTGAACAAATTAATTTTTTGGATAAATTTTTTAAAGATAATCCATGGGCTGATAATGCACAAATTGAATCAATTGTTAAAGCAACTGGTCTTTCGGAATCAATAATTAAAGTAATCAAAAAAACAAAAAAAAAAGAAAGAATAAAATAGTTTTTTTTGCTTTATTTTTATTTGAAAGACTTATATTGATCAACGTCGTGCTAAATGGAATTCAATGTATACATCAAATAATTATCTTAATTATAATACAAATGATTTTTCAAATGATTTATCAACACAAACACCATTTCATAATGTTAATCAACATTTTATTGGAAATAATAATACAATGAAAAATGATTTTGATATATCATCAACACGTTTGTTAAAGTTTTTTTTTCTTTTTGAAAAATTTATTTTATTTTATTTAAATTATCTTTAGAATCAAATGAAATTTTTTGTTCATCATCAACATCTTATCCAACATCAACAACAAATTTTCCGATACCAGCGCATGGATCAGGTAAAACAAAACCAAAAGTGGCTATAAGATTATGACTATAGAACGAAATATATGTAGGCTTGCAGAGCTTGATAATCCAAGTCAAATGGATATAGTCATAAGTCACCGTATGCGGAGAAATACGACGATTGACAAGACACTGTATTACGATCGTATATCTCCATGTTGTATACGGACAAATATGATGATTTACAGAGGAAAAACTACAGTCTTCGTGCTAGTCGAAGAATACGGCTGTTTACAGTGAAACACGGTACGTTAACGGAATCGTATTTCTTTGTAAATACAGGGTCAGTAATACGATCATATGTATGTTAGAATACGACATCTCTAAGCCGTTTTACTGCGAGAATGTGATATCAGGTATGGTCAGTAATACTGAATGTGTTATAACGACTTAATATGGCACAAAAATGACCTTCTATGGTAGAATACGGTTCATAAACAGCCGTTTATAGTAATTTTACGGTGATTCGTAATGATTGACTGGAGGTTTCGCTCTGCTTTTCTTCCTATATGACCGCATTGTTGCATATACAATCATAATACGACAAAATACGCTCGTATATAAGCTCTGTATTCGTCGACCTGAGAAAGCCTACATATATTCGTTTCTGTAGTCAAAAATCATCGAAAAACTTATCATCGCCTTTAACAAAATCAAAACAAAAATATGTATAACTTGGTTTTTTTTTTATTTATAGATTATTATTCATCAAATCCATATTCAACTGATTGGCGTTATTCATCATTTTCAAATTTTAGTAAGTAATTCTATTGTGTAAGTATTCAATGAAAAATTTTTATATTTAAATAATTTATTCATATTTTTTAAATAGATCGTGATATTCATCAATATTATCCTTACTATATATGCGATTCATCGCTCAAATCCAAACCTATTCTATAAAACAAAAAAAAAAACAACCTATCATTTTGTTGTCTATTTTCATGTCTAAAATTACTACATATTAATAAATGTGCATTCTTTGTTCATAAAAATTCTTGCTTGATTTTCTTTTTCCTTTTTCTCTCTGAATTTGATCGCATGTAAAACAAATAAAAAATACACACGCACACACACGAATAAAAAAAAAAGAATCTTAAGATCCAACAACATCATCATCATCATCATCATTTTCATTTGTTGTTTCTTTAATAGATTGTTTAGAAGGAACTGGACTTGTTCTTGATGGTCGACGAGTATCATCTGGTGACATATGATGAGATGGTCGACGAGTATTATCTGATGACATCTGATGAGATGGCCGACGATCATTATCTGATGGTATATTATGAGATGGTCGACGGTCATTAATTGATGTTGATGAAGGACGACGAGGATTGGAAGGCGAAAATGGACGTTGCTAAATATGGTTGAATAAAAATAATTAATAAAGAAATGTAGAAGAAAAAAAAATTATTTACTAATTTTGAAGATGAATCTCGATCATTTGTTGGAAATCGGGTGCTAGAACCAAGTTTATCTAGATAAAAGACAAAAGAGAAAAAAAAATGAAATTGAATTTGAATGATATTTCAATACACACATTGATCATTAGGTACGGTGTGTTTCGAACCACCAACCAACGGTGATGAAGGTCGACGACTAACAGGTGGAGGTGATGGGGATTGATGCTAGAGAATAAAGTTAAGGAGAGAAAAAAAGGGAGATAATGGAACACTATTGTATACTTACTATTTTGGAAGCTGAATCTCGAGTACTTAAAGATGATTGTCTATCAGATTGAATTTTATCTAAATAAACATATAATCCAATATTATATTCTTAATGAAAATTATGAAAAAATCTTCTTACCATTAGATAATGATTGTTTTCGACTTAATTTTGATTGATCATCAGATGTATCTCGTTTTTTTTCACTAATTTTTATTTTAAGAATACATTTATCTATCAATTTAATGTAATTTCTTACCTTTCATATAATGATCGCGCTGGTTTTATATTAAGATTATCATCATCTTCACTTTCACTACGTACAGATTTTTCTATTGGAGCTGGTGATTGCGATTTAGGTGTTGGAGACGATGTATTAGTTCGAGTTTTGTCAATTTCCGACCGATTTAAATAGCCTCGTAATGTTGCTTGTACAGTTTTTAAAGCAGTCTATTGCAAAAAGAAAAACAAACTGGTTTTCTTATAATTTTTTTTTCGTAAGAATTCTTACTTCATTAGAAGTAGCACTAGTTGATGATCGTCGACGCTTAAAAAAATCACTCTCAAGATTATCAACTTTAACATTTGAACGTGGTGATTGTATTTCAGATGATTTCTACAGACAAAAAAAAAAGCAAACAAACATAAAAATATATTCAGAAATGCAAGATACAAAACATAGACACTCAATACTAAAGATAATTTACCGGAGAGGTGCTTATTTTGGGATTCCACTAAATAATAAAAATATTTAATAGATAATTTAAATAGAAAAATAATGATATTCTTACTTTATCTAAATTTTCATGTTTTGCTTTATTTGCATCGCGTAATGTATCTTTACGTGATTTGTCATGACGACGCCATTCTCGTTGAATAACAGTAGCTGCACGTTTTTCACGAAAATTTTTTACACGATTATCATTAGCACTTGAAAAAAAACAATAAATGTAGAAACATAAGTAGGAATTTAATCTTACATAGTCGAATCTTTATCATGTACATTTTTAGCTGATGATTTTATTGGTGTAACTGGTCTTTTTGCGTTTAATGATGTCTTCGAGGCACTAGTCGATAATCTATGTGACCCCATTGGTTCACTCGGTTTTCGAATTGGTGTACTTGGTCTAAAACAAAAAACATAAGATTTTTGTAGTTTTAATCTTACGAAAGATCATCTACAATCGTTAAACACCGATTAGAGCTCGCTGGATTCAAAGTTTTGGACTCTACCGAGTTCGGATCTGGGACCAACCCGATGGGCTCATAAGTAGGATTTTGATTCATGCATTATCTAATCAGAATTATCGTCTTTTTTTCAGCTGCTAGGTCAAATGTTTATGGATATTTGAATGATGGAATTTTTATCCATTAAAATCGGTCGGAATTATTTTCGGCTTTCACTACTCTCATCGAATCTTACTAATAAGTTAAATATGAAAGTCAATCGGTGTACAACAATTAGGAATGTTTTGAAATTACTTTGAATCATATTTTGTAGGTTCGTCAGATGCATTCGAATCTCGACGAATTAAATCAGGTGATGATCGTGGTGATCGATTTTCAACTATTGGAGATTGTGGTCGTTTAATACGCAGTGTTGATGAACTGATAGAATCTCGATGTTGTTGTTCTTCATCACGTTTTAATGCTGGTGATGAACGACCAGGCTGATTCAATTTTGTTTGTTTGTCGCGTTCACGTTTCATATCTTCAAGTTCTTCTTTAGCTTGATCAAATTTTTTACGATATTCATCACGTTCACGTCGATTTTTTTCCAAATTATCATTGATTTGTTTAAGTTCATTTTCATGATTTTTACGTTTTTCTTTAAGATCTTCAATTGTTCTTAATAATTCTTTATTACTGCTATCATCCTAAAAATAAGGAAATATGAAAATATCTATGATGAAATTGCATGTATTATAAACATTCTACATATTATAAATATAGATCTAAGAAAATTGAATGTTTGATCATCTGTAAGATTAGAGTTTGAGTAATAATTAAAACTTTTTCGGGCGACAATGGTTTTTGGAATTCTACACAATTTATGGATTTCTGTTTGATTTCACACGGCTTTGAATGACTTTAGGTAAAGAGAATCTATGAATTATTTTATAATGATTTTACTAAATTTTCAAAAACAATTTTCATTTAAAAGTTTGCTCTTCTGAAAGTTTCAACTAAAACAAGTGCACAGTGAACATGGTTTATTTTTTATCAAAAGTACAATTTTTTTTTTCATAGAAATATTAATTTTCAGTATTCAACAAAAACTTGATGAGAAAAAAATGAAATGCATAAAAGAACATTTCCGATGTAAAATGAATGAACTGATTCTTACCCTCAACTTTTGTCGGAAAAACTTTTTAATTTACATACTAACAAATGTCATATTATTCGATGCAGTTTTCCATGCTGATTTCAAATAACGGGTGGGTCAGAAGAAATTGCCGGCTTTTGATAGGCCGTTTTCTCAAGTTAGACTGGATGAGAAAGTTTCGTTCTGATGTCAAAAGATAGAGAATTTTGTGTAGATTTTATTGATATGTTCTTTGCGAAATAAGTATTTGTCCTTCTCTTGTAGCATTAAAGGTATTCGATACCACAAAAACATCATTTGCTCAGCATTTTACTGGAATAAAGGGTTAGTTTTCTTTGTTAAATGATTCTACGTACATACGCTATTCAAATGCGGTATCATAAAGTACGGAGGCTTATCTATTTTTAAGATCCAATACCAAATCTGGAGACAAAGTTTCATCATTAGAAAAGCCGCTTGCAAAAAATGCCTAATTGTTCAGTTTTGGTACCTTTTTATTGCTGGCGAAAGATTCCAGCCTCATCATTAGTTTAGAAAAGGAATTCAGCTCTTAATAATGAAGAGCATTTTGTAGAGCTTGAAATTCTACATCTTTTGATATAAAAAGAGTAGTTTTTGTAAAACCGAGTTCGGAGAAAATTGGCAACGAACAGTACAATTCTGTTAACCCAAGGTATTTTCTTAATATTTTGTGGTTTTTGAAGCAGAAACAATTAAGCTTAAAAAAATAAAGACACCACTAGATACATCGAAAAATTCGGCATCGATTAGTAACACGAAGAAATTTTTGAACTATAATTAACCGAGAAAAAATTTTAGTTTAAAAGTGTCTCATTTTGCAGTTGAGCAAATGCTGTTTTTGTGGTATCGAATACCTTTAATGCTACAAGAGAAGGACAAATACTTATTTCGCAAAGAACATATCAATAAAATCTACACAAAAAATTCTCTATCTTTTGACATCAGAACGAAACTTTCTCATCCAGTCTAACTTGAGAAAACGGCCTATCAAAAGCCGGCAATTTCTTCTGGCCCACCCGTTATATCCTTCTTTTTCTCCTAGAACACTTTCAAGACAAAGAACGCAAAAAATCTGTATCTCAGTCCAGAAATATTTATACATCGTTATGCTAACTAAGTAGACGCGTCAGACAGAGAAAAACATTCTGTAAAAGTTCCATCGAGTTTGGCACTAGCTAAAGTATGCGCACCGACAGGAGCCCATTGAATCCAAAATTTTCGAACTCGCACCTGGCCGCGGTGGTATATAGTTGAAAATATTCAGTGAGTAATGAATTGATTTTTTTTCTTAATAGGAAATAAGTTAGAATATTGAATGGTATATACTTTGAAATATTTATTATTTTATAAATTAAGTAACATACCGATGAACGTGCTGATGATGGTTTTCCTCGTTCTAATTTTTCGAATTCTTCAAGTTTTCTTTTTAAAATTTCATTTTCTTTTTTGTATTCATCTTTTTCTTTATTTAATTTTCGTACAGCATTTTTCTTTTCTTCATCAACCGTAGCTACATAATCACTTTAAAAAAAATATAATCAAAGAAATAAAATAAGACAGTTATTTTTATTTTACTTTTGTTGAATATTTAATCTTTCTACTTTTTGTCTTTCAAGTTCACCAAATAAAGCACGATTTTGTATTTCTAATTCTGTACCTTTTGTCCATCTTGGATCACTTTTCATATCACTATATTCAAAAGAAAAAATATATATATAACTATGTGTTTTTATCTATTTCGTTTCAAACATACTCAATTGTTGTTTCTTTTTGTTTAAGTTGTAATTCTAATTTAAATATACGTTGTTTTAAACGTAGAATAGCATTCTGAAATAAAAACAAGATTTTCATTTATTATTTATATTTATATAAAATTTACCGCATTAGAATTATTATTAGTCCGATCTGTTAATGATCCTGATAATGCTCCTCGTAAATCTCCATCCTGAAATATTATTTTTATACAATAATAAATTTAATATAAAGTGATACCTTGCTTGTATCATAAAAGACATCAATTTCTTTTCGTTTACGTGTATTATCTTCTTCTAAACGTCGAATTTTAGCACGAAGAACACTATTCTCATTTTTAACTGCTTTCATTTCCTTAATTAATAAAATAAAATATGAGCATATTAATATAAATACGAAAATTAAAATAAAACTTTTTTTAATAATTGTATTTCATCATAATAATCTTCTTGTGCTTTATATTTTGGATTTCCACTTGTTGATCGATTTGCTATTTTAAAAAAAAACAAAAATGTAATTCTAATTAATAATCTTAAAAAACGAAAATAAATTCTTCTTACTATTAGATTTTAATGCTAATTCACTTGCAGTTTTTGTACGTGGTATATCTCTTGCAGAAAACATTTCATTTGATGATAATGAATTCTGTTGAAATACTTCTCGTAAATAACCTGGTGTACTTCGATAAGCAAGATCGATATCATCAAATGAATTTATATGTGTAAAAGGTTTTCGTTTTCGATTCATATATGATGTAAAACCTTAATTTAAATAATTTTTTCTTTTCGTAAAATCTTTGTTTTTCTATTTATCTGAAATTCTTTTAAAATCTTACCTTGCCCATGTGGTAATTGTTCAACATACATTTCACGTGCATTTTTTGTACGAATCCCTCCATTAATTTTTGACATGTTAACAAATCGAAAATATTTAGTCGAAGAAGTCACTAATAGATATGCATTATTATTGATACTATGGAAACAGCATCCATGAAGGATGATTGACAACAAGAAACGACCTCTATATCGTTTTTCTTATTTGAATTATGGCGACAAACTTCATAATCAAAAGAAAAATATCTGCGCTTTTCAATCCAACAGAAAAACACGTCTTTTTCAATGCCGATTCTGTTTCTTTTTTGTTTTTTCTTCTTTACTCTTGAGTTTTGTTTGTTTTTGATCGAGCATTTGTACATTGTATAACTGACTGAGTTTATTTCGTTCGATCATTTTTTATATAGAAGAAACTATGCTGACTTTAAAAACTCGATTGTCATTTAATACAACTCGTATTATAGCTACAAGTGCTATGATAATAGGAAAAGAACAAAAACGATATTCGTCTTTAACAATGGAAAATCTCAATCCACTTGTTAAATTAGTTGAATATGCTGTTCGAGGTAGAAAAAACTAACTTGAGTTTTTTTTTTAATAATTTAAATAAAAGATTTTGAGTCTTTTTCTTTTTCCATATAAGGTCCGATTGTTATTCGTGCTGGAGAAATCGAAAATAAATTAAAGGTAATTATAAGTCTTTTATTGTTCTTAATTCCTACTAATTTATTATTATATACAGCATAATTTACTTATTTTGACCTAGTTTTTGTTCAGTTTATTATATTTCTGCAAAATTTTAAAAGTTTGTTCTTTTTATGTGGTTGGATAGAATATTGATTGCTCGATTGAACTGTATAATTTTAATTTGATTGGTTTCGTATTTTAATGAACGTTTAAATAAATATCGACAATTCGGAGACAAAAAGCTTTCGTACGTTCATATCTCAATCAGATTAAATCCAATTTTTACAAAAATGATATTATGGTTGAAGAGATCCATCAAACTTAAAATTGTAGAAAATATTGAATGAAATCATTTTGAATTTAATCCCTCTCTCAAAAATCTAACTTCGATAGGATATATAAGATATTGATGAAATTTTGCATAGCTGTTTGATTTATGGAAGTATATTAATAAAAAAACCTTCATTCCTTCATACCTTACTGTTCAGGAGGTTTCCATGGACTTTTATGCGTACAAATTTTTTATCAATATATTTCAAACTACAGAGCTCAGGTTGATTTTATTTGAAAGAGAACTACTTACCACTTCGGATAGAGAAAACGATCTTTTTTTTTCTAATTTTTACTCGATTTCATTTTTTAGATCATCAAAACTTCAAAAATCTAGAATTTCTAGGCATGGTTTTCTAGAAAACTCAAGATTTATCTAGTATTAATAATCAATTAGAAAACTCATCTTCATCATCTGAAAGACTATGCATATATATATCGATTATAAAAAAAAACACAGCTCACTAGAATAAAGTATATTAAGAAAAAATTTGTTCGCAGTTTTTTGAGAAAAACGCAAAAAGATGTTTTTTTTCTTATATAGTCTTCCTGTTATTACTTAAAATGTCAGTGAAGCACAAATATATTACATGTCAGTCAAAGTAATTATCTAGGGTATGGATATAGGCGTAGAGAACATACACATCCACATCCCGATGTCGTTGTAGATGTCAAAAGTATGTCTCTAAGATACGCAAGATTTGATTACTTCTGAAAAAATATTTGTTTATTTTATAGATCTAATTTTATAAAAAAGTTGATTAATTACTCTAGATATCATTACTTGTCCAAATAGTTTCAAAAGTCGTTCATAAAATTCTCGAAAACTATTTTTATGAATTCGTATACTAGGTAACATGTTTATATGTTTATCTCAAAATTCAGTGTTTTTTTTTTTTTTGACAACAATCGAGTTTTCTGAGGAGATCCTTATTAAGGAGTACTAATGAGTAGAAAAATCAACGCTCAACACAACCATATATTAATGAAAAAGATTTAAATGTTTAGTCGACTATAATATACTCGAGAAAAAATTCTACAAAAATAATTTTTAGAAATTCACTAAACTTTTAATTATGATGGGGAATGAATTTGATAAAAAAATATACAGTTCGATAGAGAAATCGATACTCTATCCGGATATATAAAGATAAAAACAAATTTCTGAAACTTTGCAGAAATACGGTAAACTGAACAAACCTGGTAAAAATAAGTGAATCATGCTGTACAATCATATTTTTCTACTAGAAAAAAAACGAATTTTTCAAGCAAAAATAAGATTTTCAATATTAAAATGTTTTTCATTCTATCTTCTAATGAATTTTTTTGTATTCAGAATCAGACATATATATGTACGCCATGGCCTTTTGCTCTAATATTGACTTTGAAAAGACCTTGACTATAAAGATATCATATCTGATGAGAGAAAAAAACAAAAAGTTTAGTAAATAATGATAATGCAATGTTATATATATACTTTTTCTTTTATTCCCATCTGAATATCAATGGTGTCGATAGCATGTGCAATAAGGTTTATTTTTTCTTCTTTCTGTCCTTCTCTAAACGAAATATAGAGTGCAAATATAACAAAGAAACTTAGGTTAAAAGAGACAAAATATAAGTAAATATAGATTGTTCTTTATCGTTGATTTCTTTCTTTCTTTCATTTCGACAAGAGTTAGATATAGACTAACAGGTTCAGCATCCATTATCTTTTTTTGTCCAAAATGGAAAACTCGTGTGAAAATAATAAAACACTCACGATGGCAAATATAAATCCTCGTGTTATTAAAGTTGAGTATGCTGTTCGAGGTCCTATTGTTATTCGTGCTGGTGAAATTGAAAAACAAATAAAAGAAGTATTGATATAATTTATATTAAAAAAAGAAATTTTATTTTTGCTTTAATTTTCTTTTTTCTTTTAAGGGTCAACATAATTTTCCATTCGATCGTGTTATTCGAGCTAATATTGGTGATTGTCATGCTAGTGGTAATCAAGTACCTGTTACATATATTCGTCAAGTTTGTATTTATTTCTTAGATTTTTTTTGTTAATGATTACAAAAAAAAAACAAATGAAAATTTCTTTTTTTTTTAAATAGTTTCTTGCTGGTTGTACGTATCCACCGTTGATAGATTCGTCAGATTTTCCATCAGATATTAAACAAAAAGTTCAACGTTTATTATCTGTATGTGGTGGAAAAAGTCTTGGATCATATACAGAAAGTCAAGGATTAATAACAGTACGAGAAGATATTGCAAAATATATACAAGAACGTGATGGTTACCCATCAAATCCAAGTGATATTTATCTTTGTAATGGAGCTTCAGATGGAATTAAAACAGTAATTAAACTTCTTATGAATAATGATCCAAAAAAACCATCAGGAATTGTAAGTTAATAAAAAATATTCTTTTAATAATATATAAAACAATAATTAATTACAATTGAAGATTGTCTTACAAAATCTTTTGTTTTTGTGACGAATCTTTATATTAAGATTGCTAAAATAATGATGTGCATCATTGCACTTATACATGTGACTCAAAACAAAAAAATAAAAAATATTACATTCGGTTCGAAGGCATCCACAATTTCTTATTAATTGATAAAACAATTCTTCTTCTAGAGGTTTCATTTTTCAAGTTAAAAATAGGAGAAAAATTCTTTTTTTAAACAAAAATAATTAATAGATACTGTAAACAAATGATCAGTTTCATAGAATTTCTCTATAAAAAAAAATCCAATGATTTTCAACATTGAATGATTTTGTAAGAGTCTTCAGCACACATACATATCTTCAACTAATCCAAAGCAAACATATTTCCAATCAATTTGATACTCAAGCGTCTCTACCAAATGACTAAAACTTTTCTATGGAGATTTGATTGTCTGAAAAAAAAAAGGTTTTCATTGTAAATTAATAAATGTATAGTATTTTATTATTTATTACAAGAAATAAATTCATCATTTCGACATTTTCCTTTTAACATATCTTTTAGAGCAGTCGGAATTCCACCAATAGGACATTCGACAATAGTGAAAGTTCTATTGGAAAAATTCTGGAATCTCTCTTTTCTTTGTAGTTTTCTAGCAAGACAGTAACCATAAATCCTTCTACCGCATTCAAAGAATTAGAGAATCAGTATAGGTATATATATATTCTTTGATTGAAAAAGAAAATCTAAATTATTTTATGGAATAATTATTTAAAAAAGGAAAATCTATCTTAGATGATACCTGTTCCACAATATCCATTATATAGTGCTACTTTATCTGAATATGGTGCTCATCAAATTGAATATTATCTTGATGAAGATAATAATTGGGCATTGAATATAGATGAATTAGAACGAGCATTAAATCAATCTAAAGAACATTGCGTACCACGTGGTATTGTTATCATCAATCCTGGAAATCCTACAGGTAAAATAACATTTTCAAATCCTAACGAGATTGATTAATCGTTTTTGATTCAAGACTATGTGCATTATGTAAACTCTAATGAATTATAAATATTCTGAAAAGTGTTTGAGTTTTTAGTTGATTGCTGCAAGGACGCTATTGTATAAGAGACAAATCTTAATGAACATAGTTTATTGTGAAATTTTTATGTGCTTCTATGTATCTTGAAATAAAAACATCGAACTCTGTCGGTGTATATCAGTGATGTAAAAGCTGCACTTTTATCATAGTCATATCTCTTAGGATATGAACAACAAAGAGATTTGAAACTCTCACAATAAACTATTATCATTAAGAGACCTATCTCAGTGCAAAGTTTCAAGTTGAAAATAAGTTTTCCCAATGTCCTAAAAAATGCAGTATCTTCATAACAGTTAGCTAAGAATGCGAGCTCTTTTTTAATACTCATAAAGTTTTATTTTTGACTATTTTAATATTTAATTTTTTTTCAATTAGGTCAAGTTCTATCACGTGAAAATATTGAAAATATAGTTCGTTTTGGTAAGAAAACAAGGAAATAAATAATTTTTTTGTTTAATAATTTTTTGTTTTGTTGTATAATTATTTAGCTGAAAAACATCGATTATTTATATTGGCTGATGAAGTCTATCAAGAAAATACTTATTTACCAGGTTCAAAATTTTTTTCATTTAAAAAAGTTTTAATGGATCTGGGTGCACCATATAATCATATGGAAATGGGTATTTCTATCCGTGTTTAAAAATTCTTTTTATTAATCATTCTTCTTTGATTTTATTTAGCTTCATTCCATTCAGCATCAAAAGGTTGGCATGGCGAGTAAGTTGAA